TGAAGCCAAGCAAAAGACCAACCTGACCAGGTTCCTCATCTAACAAAACATAAAATCACTACCATCCAGTCTGAAAACCGTCCAACGAAACCTCCACTACAGTCGAAAACCAACAAACATACAAGCTAAACCTATAGGCGACACAATGGCAGGGAGGAGACAACCAACATATCAACCTCTCACACCTGCATGTCCAGCTGTCAACCCTATAAACCCACTTTGCCGGTTGCCTCCGAAGAGTGTACCGGTAAGGAGTACCTGTACCCACTGCCTGTCCCCCAACCAAAATAATACAAACATAGGAAATACATAGAGGTAGTAAAAGACTAAAAGAGAGTTAGTGGGGCCTATCTCCCATCCATAGTACTATGCCTCCTCCTGCCAATCCCGTAGCCAAACCAAAGAAACCAAACAAGCCCCACAAAATCCAGTGCGCAACACCCAAACAAGTCCAACCAGATGGTTACAACCCACTATCTGCACAGGTGGCTATCAGCTAGCCAGTCCATCAAGGAGCTTTGCAGTACTCAGCAGCTTCACCCAACAGCTCAAGTCAGACTGAAAACACTTAATTAGACCTCACCCAACCTGATGCAGGTCCAACTAGTACTCATAGGTACTTCTCCACCCCCAATTAGCCCCCTCCAAGCCCCACACCCCAGACACCACAGAGCCCATCCAGCCCCCCAGCCACTCAGACAGATCAACCATCCGACAGCCACAGGACAGCCCATACCTAGCCCTGTCAGGCAGCTACTGGTCTTAGCCACACTAATAGAGCCCCAGCCCACAGCACCTTGTAGCTAAAGGAGGCCCACCAGCCACAGCCAGGAGCCACAAAAGAGGCACCACCAAAACCCGAAGGCACTGGCACCAGCCACAGCATCCAGTCCAGTCGAACCGAAGTTCAACCAAGTTGGGAAAAAATAGGCAGAGCCAGCCAAAGCAAGCCCCACAGGTCCGGCAACAGGTACAGACCGAACTAAGAGCAAGAGGCACCGGCCAACTGATGCAACATGAAGGGGAGAGGGCGAGCAAACTGAAGCAAACAAACAGAAAGTAGGCCCCACTTGCAATGGGTGAAGCCATCAACCATAATCCACAACTGAACTACCCAAATGCACAGACAACGCAAGTGCCTGGTAGCCAATCATCCCACACCACCCCAGGCCGTAACGAAAAACCACACCAGAGGGTAAGAGTTTCCAGTGTTAAAGCTATCTCTACCCAGGCAAGGAGGAGATACCTGACTAAACCACTGTAAATTCCATAAGGACAAAACTTCCAAGGAAATAGCGATAAGCAACATCGTATGATTCCGACCATAGAAATATAACATAACAAGGAGGGGCTGGACAGGTACTGCCCTGCCACGTAAGAGGTGATGCGGTCAGTACAACGAGTTGAGGATGTGGAATGGTCATTAAGCTAACCCACTGGCATTTTGTATTGTGAGAACTAGGGACTCTGTTAAAACCCAACAAGAAACATGAGCTGGCCCAAAGAATGACACGGGTAATTCCCCCAAGCACTAAGTTCAATCCCCCCAATCGAACGCGAAACCTCCAAGTAGATAATAGACAGGAAGCCGAAGACATTTTACCGAAAGAGGCTCGTAAGCGACCGTAATAAATAGCTTGAAGTACCAGTATCGTGAGATAACCAGCAGGCAACGAAACGAGAAGCAAACAAGTAATCCGCCATGCAATGCCAACAGACCTCAACACTAAGAACCCCAGGAACTACTGAGTGAACTCAGATATCTCCCCCGGAATCCAAGGTATCATGGCCCATCATGGGTGTGAAAGAAACGCTCGGGATGAAGCGACGGCAAGGACTAGGAAAAGTACTTAGAATAAAGCATGACAAGCCTATCCTCTTTGGCTTTATAAGACTGCTTATATAGTGTTCTTCTTACCTCAAGTCATATGACCTAAAGTGGTCACATGCATGAAGCCAAATCATAACAAACTAGCCATATGACCAAAGTAGGCACATGTTTGAAACCCATGACCTTGTATCAAGGTCATGTACAAAAACCCATAAACCAATCATAATGTAATAAATAAGTCATATGATACCCAGTGGTTACATGCGTGAAACCCATAACCTCCTAATGAGGTAATATACAAAACATAAATCATATGTGTAAGGCATACCCACAAGGCATACTTATAAGGCATACGCACTAGGCACATATCCCATGACTCATAATCGAGTCATGTACAACACATAATAAATTATAACATAACAAGTCATATGACCTAAATGAGTCATATGCTCAAAACAATAACATACCTATAACTCATAATCATGAGTTATGTGAAAACCTTTTCCATGCCAAGCTATATCCGTGATATATATAATACTTTATGGCTTAGTCCTACTTGACACTGGCTTTCCAATAGTATAAAGAACATCTCCATAATGCCAACATCTGTGGAAATACTGCTACTTACAGAAATGATCTTTCCTATCACTTTTCTGACTACTTACCTATCTTGTCTTTCAATTTTTATACTATAACATTTTTATAATTCATTCTAAAATGCTTTTGGGTTAAAATTTTGTCTACTTTCTACTGTGACCAAGGTATAAGTTATGCTTGATATTGGTTGTATCTCGTGAATTCTCTAATTTAGTAGACATATTCTACTATTTGTTACTATATTTGATTATATTCTAAGTTTAACTAATATGTTCTGTTATATCCTGACTTTAGTTAGTATATTCAATTGCTTCCTGGATATAATAGGCATATTCTGTTGTTAGGAATACCGAGATCCAATACCTAGAAATCACCCCAAGTAGATTAGCCTCACCCAATATCAGAATCCCTAGTCTCCCACACCCCACTCCAGTCCCCTTACTGGGCCCGCACGTCATCATACATTTCAATCTCAATTGCTTCCTGTGGCTATAATACTACAGAATTGAAGGTATTAGAATAATACCGTATACATCACTGCTGTCCATCCGACCAGATTCTGTTCGCAGGATATATGGGAGGGGACCTTCAGCTAGGTCTGAGAAGTGGAACAGAGTAAATCAATCACCTACCCAGAGTTAGTAGGCTTCAAAGATGTGACATCTTTGGCACGGGCAGTAGGTAACAGGAAGTTTTTACATGAAGAGATGATATCAAAGTGTAAAGGATCTCAACAAGAGACCAATACATTCGCATCTGCTCTACAATAACCAGAAGAGTCGAGAACTCCGAGGGACACTACTACCAAAGCCAATAAACTTCACGGAGTGTTGTAATCAGTTTTTGAAATACCTTGTAGCTGCGAGGATAACGCCCAATACTACAATAACAATTAAAACCCTATTACTCAGAGCAACTAAGGGTTACCGACCAAGGAAATATTTGTCAATTCAGTGGAATCGCTTTCTGCGAATTAGTAGGAAGTCCTCCAGAAGATATCTATTAGTTGAATAAGAAGTTATGAAGGTTTGAAGTCAGGCAACCTAAAAGGGTTACGATTATGACTACCTTCAGAGATGTAACCCACAGATGAAACCGATTATATCATCAATGACGAAGTCAATTGGGGTCAACTCAGTTCGACATGAGAACTAGGCCACAAATCTAAAGAACTCTAATAATCAGATAGCTACTATTGGGAACAGTATAGTTCCTAGTTAAGTTTTATCGTCATTGCCAAAAAGGATGTGGTGATTTTCAGGGTCTTCAGGTATTCGTACCTATTAAGAATACCCGATGTTGCGAGATATATTCTGTGAGGTACATAGTTTTAGAATAAACAAATGTAGTCTACAAATACTCAGACACGGAATATAAATATCGAAGTACCTCCCAAGCTTTAGACATCATCAAGTAATGGAGAAGAGATCTTAATAATATAATATTGTTTTTACGATTCTATCTTACTTTACCGAATTTACTTCGCTCTTAGTAGTCACAAATGAAGCAAGTGAATTTGAGTCTTCCTAAACAATCTCTATCTACAGAAATGAATCTTAGTTGGCCTAGACAATTCTGAAGTCTATCAGATTGTCTCCACCTAACACCTGTTACCTCCTGAGCATAGCAAGTACATTCTGATATTTCCAGAGATTCATTGTCATATCTATTTGTATCTCTGTTATTAATTTCTTTTTAGATGCCCCTTGCTTCTGACATATGGAATGTACTAGACCCAAGCTTTAATTTTTTTCTAATGTAGATAAGTAATGAAATCTAAACATGATAATACAAGTAATCGCTATTAATGTACTAATTGAGAAGTAACAGTAGTGCTAGAAAATTCCTAAATGGGTAGTTGTATAACAAAGATACAAACAAGTAAATAGAAGAAATATTATAACCAGCTTATATAAGTTTAAATATAAAGGAAACATATTTGCTACTAGGCAAAGATCTAAGTAGTGAGAACCAATGTCAAGCTAGATACAGTAGTAGAAAGTAATAGGATTACATTATAAACTTTATAAAGAGTAGAGTAAATTAAAGTGTAAGGATTATAATAAGTTTATCAACAGAATATTAGGTCATAATACTCTTCTTAGACAATAAAAAAGATAATTCAAATGGAGTATTGATTCTTATATTTATTTCTTTAAAGCTATACTGTTTTACAATATCTTCCCCGCCTCCTTAAACTGATAATATTCTGCTGTAGAAATATTCACTTAAATTTTCTCTGCATTACACCAAAAGGTTGTAATTTTACTTTTACAACTTATCTCTTTTGTCACCATCCTCATACTCAATTTCCTGTATATAGAAACTGCACATATAATGCTTGCTCTATGCCCACTAGCTAGCTTGGATTGGTTACTGGTAATCATAACATGATAATAGTTTAAAAAGGGGTGCATACTAGCTTTCTCTTATAATCAGTAAGAAGCTGAAGAAACTACAATTGTCAATCACAAAGTCGGGGGAATTGGGGCAATATTTTCAAACTCCAGGGCGACATTTGTCCACATGGTGCCACAATACGGTGATATCCTGTAGGCCAGGTAAATAGTTGTTTCTCTAGAACCAGACTCGTCGGTACGATTTTATGCAGGATATCATAGACAAGGGTCCCCCATGTGAATTACCAGCATCCTCTTCCACGGACAGGCGTCAAAACTATTTAACCCATGGACCGCTAGCTCCACTCGCTCTCCAAGCCGAGAGAATCATAGAAACGATGTCTTCCACACCGACACCATTCTTCACTTGCGCGAAGATAGTAGGTCCGCCCTCTCTAAATCATCATTGTTAGTTAGGATAGCCTTGAGCAGCTCTTCTGCGCCAAGAGAGATAAAGATAGCACAAACCGCATCCTACGAGAGTCACGATCCATGACATCCAAATCCGCCCCAATGAGCTCTGCAAGGTCAGTCTTATTAACGATTAGGAGATCCGATTGAGTAATGCCAGGCCCACCCTTGCGGGGGATTTTGTCGCCTCCAGAGACATCAATCTGATCAATCAAAAAAGTTAAACCGTAAATCTCATTTTTTTTCTATAGGGAGGTAGGGCGAAGCAGAAAGAAATCATACCACATAGATGATATAATCAGCAAGCTCACGGGAATAGTTTGCTGCCAAGTTGTCACCACCGCTCTCAATCAACAAAAGCTGAGTATCGAATTCGCGATGAAGATCCTCCAACGCATGAAGGTTCTGGGAGATATCCTCACGAACTGCTCAACCCTTTAGCATAACCCAACCCACCAGCTTTAGAAAAGATAGCTGTACCGGCAGCGTGAGGGCAACCCCCAGTCTCGATAGCACGGATACGTTTAGGTTCAAGAGCCTCGTTTTTAACAAGGAATTCTTGATCCTCCCTGACCAAAAATAAATTAGACCCATAGAGTATTAAAGAAGAGAGGTGAGGATACTTGGTAAAAATGTCATTGGTAACAGCTGCGATTGAATAATGCTCTCTGAGATTTTTGCAAAGCTGCAGCATCAAAGCAGTTTTTCCGGAGCCGACAGGCCTAATAGCAGTGCAGCCTAGATTAGCTGCTGATTGGGGACACCAGAGAAACTTTACTGAAAGCTTACCCGCCGATGCCAATTGTAAAGGCACGATCTTCCCAGTTCCTACCTTCAACGATAGGGAGTTCACGAGCTAGGTAAGATCCTGGGCCATCAAGAATCTCATGCTCATGGCCATGATCGTGAGAATTGATGTTCCCACCGGAGAGGTCATGGGTGTGGGTCATTTTTCTTCGTTTTATTTCCGCAGAAGCTAGGTAGGTTTATCGAGCTTAGAGTGTAGAGGGAAAATGAGATGATGACGGGGCGTAATGAAGGTTGGAAGATTGAGGGCCCGTTTATATTGGGGTATGGCAGAAAAAGGTCGGAAAAATAAAATAAAATATCAGCAAGATCATGTGGGGTACGATAGCAGATCCTCTGCACTGATGGAAAAATTATTGTCTTGGCAGGCGCTAGAAATCCAGATTGAAGGGGTAGGAATTTTAGCATGGTACATCTAATCAACCAGTTAGATTGTGATAAAACTGTAAGTATGATAGATGGCTTGAAAATAATACAATTCTGAAATTGAAACATATTATAAAATCTAGAAATAAATGCATGCACCTGGAAATATGTTAAAAAAACTTATTGACTTAAGTTCTACTAGTATACATTATAGGATTCTTTAAGATTAGCTATAGTTCTAATAAAAATACTCAAAATTGCATTAAACAATAAATTCAAGTTCAAGTCTGAAATTAAGTCAACTTTTCTATATAATATATTCCATTTTAACTCCTTGTTTCTCCGCTCTAGCAAGTACAAAGAATTCATAAAACAATACTTAGAATATATTCTACATGATTTTATTTAATAACATATTATAGTAGTAAAAGGTAATACAAAATTAAGTCCTAAAGAAGAAGACTTAAAAATTTAATAATAGAGATTTACTAACTAAATATTTAACAGAATTGATAAGAAATTATAAAACAAGTAGCTGCTACTCAAGTACAGCTAGACATATCTGAAAATAGGAGTATACAAACCCTATTAATTTTTTTACAATATACTAAGAAACACATTTTCAATACCCCTATGAGCCTCATTGCAAGACCAGTACTCTGTTTCTCACATTTTAGTCATTTATGTCCCAATTCTAAAATGTACAAAGTTGGCAGCTTCTGCGTTAAATTCCAACTGAAGTTGGCTATATATTAGTACAAGGTAATAGTAACTACTATAATTGACTATTAATAATAAATAATTCATAAGAGTTGATTAAAATAAGTAGAGAACTATTCAACCAAGTGTGTATTAATGTATTTTCTATTAAAGTCTAATGTTTACTAGCCAAACATTACTGGCTATTAAAACAAGTTCTGATGATCCTATAATGTCTCATGATGGATTCTCACACAGATTCCTTCCTTAGTGTAATGATCCCCATTTTAGATAGTTAGTTCTTGGCGATGGGGAATGATACTTATCTTTTCTGTCTTCTTCTTTCTTTGTCTTACTATAGCTCTAGGCCTCTGCCTATGTTACCGATAGTACAAGACCTTTGTCATCTATCGGCAATGCCTATCATAAGCTTTCTCTAACTCGTCTTCGTGACGAGCGCTTCTTGGCGTAATGATAACATTGCAATAAATATAAAGATCGTAAAGGTGTTTTATATTCGTTAAAGTAATAAGTAGGAAAAGTACTTAGAACAAAGCGGGAAGAACCTATCTTCCTCGGCCGCATCAGCCTCCTTATATAGTATTCTTCCCGCCTGTAGTCATGTGACCTAAAGTGGTCACATGTGCGAAACCAAATCATAACAAACTTGTCATGTGACCAAAGTGATCACATACTCAAAACCCATGACCTTATAGCGAGGTCATGTACAAAACTTAGAAACCAATCGTAACGCAATAAACAAGTCATATGACTCGACTGAGTCATATGCGTAAAACCCATGACCTCATAATGAGGTCATGTGCAAAACATAAATCATATGCGCAAGGCTTACCCGCAAGGCATACTCGCAAGGCATACTTGTCAGGCGCACATCCTATGACTCATACTTGAGCCATGTGCGAAAGCATCACAAATCCCACACATAACAAATCATATGACCCGAATGAGTCATATGTGTGAAACAATAACGTACCTGTGACTCATAACTATACATCACGTAAAAACCTTTTCCTCGCTAAGCCACATTCGTGACACTTAGCCAAACATGAAAATAACCTATTATTAAATGATACTTGACATTAAACATAAAACAAACTAAGAATAGAAATATGTGAAAATTTTAGTGAAAGTGAAACAAGTACTAGGATGTACAAGGGACAGGCAATAAAAAGTGGTACAGAATGAGTGGGAGACTTAGTATTGTGTATTGACAAAATTAACTGCAATTCAACAATCAGTGGCAACCCACCCCTCTTCATTACTCCATACTCTCAACAGTAGCAAAAAAAATTGCTCTAAGACAACCAAGAAGAAACTATTCTGCTCAGTTTTTTTTTCAATAAACTATACCTCCAATTCTTCACAGTCATGCCAAGAAATCTATTCCCTCCACACATCTCTCTGAGTTTACCAGGAGGAGGATTCTCGGGTTACACAAGCCTCAGATGAGATATCAGCAAATTTTCTACCACCTTAATATCTCCTATACTACTGTCAGAAACACAATTGCAAAGAGACTTCAAAAGGGCAAGGAGAATAAGGGTAGAGGAAGACATCCTAAAGCTACCAAGTTATGGGATGATGCTATAGTGGAGGAAGCTCTTAAAAATCGCCATACTACCTATTCTGACATTACTAAGTAAGTTTCTTCCAATATTTCTAGTAGGACAGTAAGGAGAAGACTTGAAAAAAAGTATCTTAGAAAGTAGATGGCATAAGAGAGAGTCTATTTGGATGAGGATCTAGCTTAAGAAAGGTTGAAATAGGCATTAGCTCATAGGCATTGGACAAAGAAGATGTAAAGAGGGAAGGCAACATGGAAGAATGAGGTAGCCGTGGAAAGGGAAGAAAATAGGAGAAAATAGGTTTTCAGATACCCATATGAGAAATAGAATAAGGATTGTGTTGAACCCAAGGCTAGAAGAAGGGAGAGAGGGATTAGCCAGATAATAACTGGTTGTTTTTATAGTCAAACTCATGATCTGTTTTTGCCTGTTTTTCCTGATCCTTCTTCTGCTAGGTGTAGAGTTACTAGGAAGTCAATTATTGATGTTTATGATCATTATGACTTTCTAGGTATATGGGAGAATATCAGAGAAAAGTCTGGAGAAGAGGTATTTTTTATCATTGATAATGCTAAAACTCACTTGCCTTTTAGGAGATGGCTCAGAGGGTAAGGAATTATACGGATAGAAATTCCTGCCTATTCACCAGATCTCAATCCAATTGAAAATATTTGATCTCTAGTGAAAGGTGAGCTTCACAAGCACTACCCCAAGCTATATGATATGAAGGGTGATGTCAATGTGGTCAAGAAGGCAATAGTACAGGCCATCATTCATCGTTGGGAACTTCTTAACTCAAAGGGTTTTGATACTTTAGCTGAATCAATGGTAGATAAAATAGAGGCAATTATTAAGACTAATGGATGGTATACCAAATATTAATTTCTACTATGTATTTACATCTTTTAATTTTTTTTTTTGTTGTCATGATAGTAGATTAGTGGATGAGTGTGGTTGTCATCGCAGAGAAAAGATTTTCCTCTGTTGAATCGCAGCTAATTTTGTCCATACACAATAGTAATAGTGCAACATGACTTATAGGCTACATACATATCACTCGATGATAACCAAACTACGAAGAGAAACTTGACAGGTGAGCAGCAAAAGAAAGAAGTAATAATAATAAGAGTAATAAACAAACTACTTAAATAATAATCAAATACTAGGAAGTGGAGCTGTGAACTCCACCCTGTTGGTGCCCGCCAAAACTACACAAACTCACCTACCCACTACCACATCCAACCCAACCATGAAATAGAAAATAGGAAGGGGCTCCAGAGGCGAGAGAGAAAGTGCAATAACAAAAAAAATAAAAAGGATAGGAAATTAGCTAGCTTGAAATAGTACTCACCCAAGACCTTAGCAAAAGTAAAAATAGTTAGATGTCCAGTTGATATGAGAAGCAGATGGAAGAGACTGGAAGACCTAAATAAGTAGGAAGGAAAAAAACGAAAAAGATAATAAAGGAAGGTCTTGCTAAAATCTTGTATGCCTACCCTGAGCAGAAGTACAGTTTGAACTCAATCAGGCATGCTAATAATTAGATTTTCCAGATCTTGAAGATCAATCTCATTTCACTCTTTCTGAATTGCAGCCTACATAGTATTATTTTTCTTTGGACGGGGAGAGCACGAGCTAATTCTTGCCAGAATAAGGTACCAAGCTCCCTCTATAAGGTTAAGATCTGGCAATTTAGTACTCTGGTGAAACAAGTAATTGTATAGTTCTTTCTCTTTCAGTATCTTTATAGTATACCTAACCTTATGAATACTAGATCCATCTTGAAGAATATAGATATAGTTTTCAGTTTCACAAGATATCCTATTCCAAATGGCTTCAAGATGTGAAACAGTATTGTCACAATATCCTTTAGCTGTAATTCAAGTTCTCATAGTAGGTTTGTCCTAATGGAGCAAAGGACCATGGACAGTACCACAGAAGCAAACTCAGATATTTATGCTTTCCAGTTTGGCAAACTTAGGGACAAGGCAGGAGGCATCAAATTCCTCAGAGAGAGTGTGTGTCACAAAAACTCACCCAGGAGAGCTACCATGATTGAAAGCAGACTTATCCGTCTAGATCACTTTCTTCCAATCTTCTATACCCCAGTCCTGAAAATACTGTACTCTCTCTAAATCATTCTAATATAGTTATATTAGCCAGTTAGAATAATATAGTACTAGAAACAGGTATTTAGCAATCAAACACACCACTTTATAACCTTATAACTATTCACATATTTTTTACTATTAAGCTATACTGAAGTATTCGAAGTCATTATACTAGCTCCCAGTACTTACAAAATAAAAAAGAAAGACTATCATAAATAGCTTACTAGTATATAGGTGAGAGTTAAAAAAGGTTTCTTTCTTGCTACTCTACAATAATATCCATCAAGGTCTAGAGAGTGGTGAAGGGTTTTCTCACAAGCCTGGACTCAAACTATGAAAGTAATTTCTGTATAAGTGGCTTTGAGCAATTTTCCGCCGATGCAGTAATAATATCAAAAGTTTTTTTCTGATTCCCAAGTTGAAAATCCAAGGTCAACCACATACTTTTCTTGGCCTAGTATTGGGAGGTTCCTTCTGTGCTGTATGATAGACAGTACTAATA